TGAAAAGGACACAACAGCACCTCTGCAGCAGCCAGGGCAAAAATTCATCACCTCAGTTTTATCATGAAAAAATACAAGACATTCTCTAATATCAATTATTGTTTTTTGAGACAGTGTCTCATTTTGTTTCCCAGGCTGGAGTGCAGTGGTTCCATCATAGCTCACTGCAAACTCCTGGGTTCAAGTGATCCACCTGCCTCGGCCTCCTGAGTAGCAGGGACTACAGGCACACACCACTACACCAGCAATTTTTTTTTTTTTTTTAGAGACAGGCATCTCGCTATGTTGCCCAGGCTTGTCTCACACTCCTAGCCTCATGTAAGCCTCCCCACTTGGCATCTCAAAGCGTTTGGATTACAAGCATGAGCCACTGCACCTGGTCTCATATCAATTCTTATAATGACAACACAAATGAAGTGAGCAGTATTCATCAAAAATGTCAATGTCAGGAAAGACTGAGGAACTGTCACGGACTGGAGGAGAAAAGAGACACAACTGCTAAATCTAATGTGGGACTTTACTTGGATTCTGAAACAGAAAAAGAATGGTAGGGGAAAATGGTGAAATTTGAATAAAGTTTGTAGTTTACTTAATAGCATTATGCAAGTGTTGATTTCCTGGTTTTGATAATTGTACTATAGTTATGTAAGTTGCTAACATTAGGGTAAGATGAATGAAGGGCCTATATATACACATATGAACTCTGCACTATTTTTGCAACTTTTCTGAAATCTAAAATTATTTCCAAATAAAAAGTTTTTAAAAAATAAAAATACAGGCTGGGTGCGCTGGTTCATGCCTGTAATCCCAGAACTTTGGGACGCCAAGGCAGGCGGATCACGAAGTCAGGAGATAGAGACCATCATGGCTAAACACAGTGAAACCCGTCTTTACTAAAAATACAAAAAATTAGCCGGGCGTGGTGGTGGGCGCCTGTAGTCCCAGCTACTCAGGAGGCTGAGGCAGGAGAATCGCTTGAACCTGGGAGGCGGAGGTTGCAGTGAGCCAAGATCACGCCACTGTACTCCAGCCTGGGTGACAAAGAGAGACTCTGTCTCAAAAATTAAAAAATTAAAAAAGAAAAGAAAAATACAGTATCTTGTACAAAGGCCAACTTTAGATTCATCCCTGTTAAACTTGATTCAATCTCTTTCTTCTTTTTTTTTTTTTTTAAGACAGAGTGTCTTGCTCTGTTGCCCAGGTGGAGTGCAGTGGAGCAATCACAGCTCACCGCAACCTCCACTTCCTGGGCTCAAGCGATCCTCCCACCTCAGCCTCTGGAGTAGCTGGTACTACAGGCACGCACCACTACACTCAGCTAATTATTTTGACTTTTAGTAGAGAGAAGGTCTCACTATGTTGCCCAGGCTGGTCTTAAACTCTTGAGTTCAAGGTATCCTCCTGCCTCAGCTGCCCAAAGTGCTAGGATTACAAGCATGAGCCAATTCAATTCCTCAAACTGAGAAGTAAGAACCATATAATAAATAAGCAAATAAGCAAAGATCATTTAGAATAAAAGATCATCTAAAGCAACGTCTGAATCACATTATTTTTAAACCCACTTATTCAGGGCTCACACATTTCTCCAACATTTTGGCAGAAGAAAACTTTATGGAGGATAAAATTCTAGCTACTCTGAGTAAACCTGGTCCTCATCCCTAAACTTAAATATGAGTAGTGAAGCTGGCAATAATCACAACCCAAATAATACCATAGCTTGGTCCCAAGAGGCTTACAAATTAATAGGCCAAGAAATGGATAAAGGAGCTACATCTTTGTATACCTACATCTTTGAATCCTTACAATCCTCATTTCCTCTCCTTTTCCTTCTTGGGAGAAAATTTCCATTTCTGTACTCCTATACCAAGAAATCCAAACTAAGAGGGACACCCTGGCCAGGCGCGGCGGCTCACGCCTGTAATCCCACCTGGGAGACCGAGGTAGGTGGATTATCTGTGGTCAGGAGTTTGAGATCAGCCTGGCCAACATGGTGAAACCCCATCTCTAATAAATACAAGAATTAGCCGGGCATGGTGGTGCATGCCTGTAATTCCAGCTACTAGGGAGGTTGAGGCAGGGAATTGCTTGAACCCGGGAGGTGGAGGTTGTAGTGTGGTGAGCCAAGATTGCACCACTGCACTCCAGCCTGGGTGACAGAGCAAGACTCCATCTCAAAAAAAAAAAAAAAAGAGGGACATCCTTACTTACTAGTATTGTAAATACCACAAATATTCAAAAGATCAAATTCTTCTAGGGTTTGGGTTCAAAATGACAGTACAAAGGATGTATGCTCACTGTTAACAATGACTATCTGTGGATAAATGGATGGGAGGCTTTTTAATTTTTTATTTTACACATTTTATATTATTTGACTTTTTATAACAATCACATATCATTTAAAAATAAATAAACATATATATATGGCACAATGCCAATCGTTAGTTATTTTAAACTAAATAATAGACTTTTAACAATCAACTATAAACTGTTAGCAATTCAATTTCATTTGAAATATATCCAACTCAAAAGCCAAGAGTAAGGAAACTCTTGCCAATTGTCATTTAACATCATTTACTAAAAGTGTACTTTATCTAAATAAAGTTAGTGGCATGGTTTTGTGCCACCAGAGAGCACACAGCAACTGGAGGATGTGAGTTATCCACATAGTAAAGAAGTGAATATTTTTTTCCAAAGCAGGGTACCAACATGGGTGAATTACAGTACAGCAAATAGAATATTTAATACCAAGAGTATGTGGTATAGAGGAATCAGCAGATAAATGTTTTGGGGAGAGACAGCCTTTTGGCCTCCCATGAAATGGGGCGGGGGATGGGGAAGAGACAGAGAGAGAGAGAGAGAGAGAGAGCGCTACTTCATGGATGGATCCCCAATCCCACTTGCTATGCACCTGACCAGGAGCACACCTTCTCTGATGGGAACGGCGGGAGCCTCACTCCTCATGTGCAAAGGGGAGCTCCTTGAATGATTTCCTAAGGGATGTCACCAGATCCAAACTTGCCTGTCATAATCCCACCTGTTATTCATATTTGCTATCTATATTTTCTTTTGGTCTTCCCTTCCTTTGTAACAAAGTTCATTTTAAAAATCCCATCTCTTGTCTCAGCTATGCTAAGACAAGGAGATGAGTGGGTAGGGAGGATCGGATCATTGCTACAACACTGCAAAAGCATCTGACAGTCACTTACCTATTTGGTCATCTGTATATTCTGTATCTAGATATTTCATTTGCGGGTTTGTCCATTTGTTGGAAAAGACTTTGTGTCAAGGTGCTAGTGACTGAGCCCATCTTACACAATCACTTATTCAAAAATAAGAATGTTTATTGAGTGTCTACCACATACCAGGTACCGCTGGGCATTACACACTGTTCCAATATTTAGAATCTTTATTACTCAGAGGCCACAGTATGAAACAGATTGGTTTGAAACATCAGGGTCTGAACACTAGGCCATTAAATGGCACTAGAATAGACACTCATTAAAAGTTTTCCTCCTCTTGTGGCTCATGCCTGTAATCCCAGCACTTTGGGAGGCCGAGGCCAGTGGGTTACCTGAGGTCAGGAGTTTGAGACCAGCCTGGCCAACATGGTGAAACCCCATCTCTCCTAAAAATACAAAAATTAGCTGGACGTGGTGGCAGCCACCTGTAATCCCAGCTACTTGGGAGGCTGAGGCAGGAGAATTGCTTGCTCTCGCACTCCTGGCCGGGGATAAGGAGGCTTCAGTGAGCCGAGATCGCACCATTGCACTCCAGCCTGGGCGACAAGAGCAAAGCTCTGTCTCAAAAAAGTTTTCCTCCTCATCTAAAGAAGTTAATGTTTTTCAAAGTGGAAAGAGACTAGGAAGGAACTTTCTTACTCATTATGTAGCTTTAGATCCTGCAAGTATTCAAAAGATCAATTCCCGTGGGAGTTAAGCCCAAGTTCTAAAGAGTTTAAAACCTCTCGAAGAGGAAGGGGCCACCAACATACTTGTCAAGGTTGAGTCCAGGAGCAAGGAGGGATACTCAGAGATAAGTTCAGTGCTCCTCATCTAACTTCTTCCTGCACGGGATGACTATAGACAGTGGGATTTCTCACCCATCCAAAGAGGGACAGCAGCAGGCTGAGTAAATATGAGAAACGTGGGGCTGGAGACAGAGCTGGGAGTGAAGACCTGACTTTCTTTCACTTGCAGGCGAATAGTGTGATCATGGACACAAGTCCTCTGGCCCTCAATGTCCCCATCTGTAAAATGAGTAATAGGATTGGCCCAGAGCTACCTGAACAGCCCAGTCAGCTCCAATGTGTCATGATTTCCATCTCCAGGGACAGCCTCGAGTGTCTACTCTCTGGCCAGCTCTGAACTTCACAGTTCATGATTCTAGTCCAGAATATAAAATGGCAGAGTCCAAACTACAGGTTCTCAGACCTGCAGCTCTATGGGCTAAAATGTCCCTCTGTACACATCTCTCCAGAGTGAACCTGTAACTCCAAACAAGGAAGGCCTTTGGTGTACTCTGAAGCTTGGCCTGTCGCAATGCCAAACATTGTGGCCAAAGCCATAGACAGGATGGAGCCTCCTGAGCTGGAAGGGAAGGGCAGGACTCCAGCACTCAGACTTCAGGGCAAAGGTACAAACTGCCCCAGGGAGGTGCAGGATCAGCCCTACTCTGGCAGGTATGGCTCTCCTGATCAGCATAGCTGTTTACTTTCTGCCCCAAAACCGAGTGGGACCCAAAGATGCTAACACATCTCTTTTCTTTTCCAGAAGCTAGACAAAAGGACATTTCAGAGCCAGATAAAACTGTGTGAGCAACTCTGGGGAAGACCTAATGTTTCCAGTCCAAGATCTGAAAAGCATTTCAGAGAGCAGGTGATGTGATTCAGGGGGAAAGGGAGAGGAGGGGCAGCACTTTTACCAATGTTAAGTGGCCACTGCAAGAGCTAAGGAGGTAGGAGCTTCCCTGCAGTCCCCCCACATGGTCCCCAAGGCACTTACCCTCACACTCCCTGCCTTCCCCTTGGTAGCCAGGCTTGCAGGAGCACTTGTAGGAGGTGGGTGTGTTCTGACACAGGGCGTTGGCATGGCAGTCATCTAGCCCTTGGGCACACTCATCCACATCTGCAAAAGAGCACAGCTGACACCTGGTACAGGCTCCCAGGCCATGTGTGATCTGGCCTCGGTCCTGTCTGGCATCATCCCCACCAGCCCACCCCACTTCACTCCTCACAAGCTACAACTGCTTGGGATCCCTGGGATAAACCACACTGTTTCTGGGCCGCTGTTTCCAGGAACAGCCTGTGCCCTCTATGTGAAATTACCCCCACCATCACCTACTGGCCTTCAGGACTTAACTCAAATCCACCTCCTCCAGGAAGCCTGCCATGACCCCCGGTGTAGGTGCCCTCACCAGTGCTAGTATATGTATGGCTTTGCATGGTACACATCAGGCAGGGTTAATGTTTTCTTTCCTCTCCACTAGACAATGTCTTGACAACAGACTGCATCTGTGCCCCTTATGCCAAGCCAGTGCAGTACCTGGCACGTGAGTAGGCAACAGTACATACATGTCTGCTAAAGGAGGAAAGGACCAAACGGACAGAAAAACTCTGAAAGCCAAGCAGCTGTCTGTCAGCTTTCTCAGGGCTTAGAGCAAGCTTGTCCAACACAGCCTGTGGGCTACATGCAGCCCAGGACAGCTTTGAACGCCGCCCAATGCAAATTCGTAAACTTTCTTAAAACATTATGAGTTTTTGTTTGTTTGTTTTGCTCATCAGCTATCGCTTGTGTTAGTATATTTTATGTGTGGCCCAAGAGAATTCTTCTTCTTCCATTGTGGCCCAGGGAAGCCAAAAGATTGCACCCCGCTGGTTTGGAGTATCTCGGGGAAGCCTGCCCCGGGATTGGAGCAGATGTCATCCCAGGCTCTCAGATTCTGCGAAGCGGGGATGGTGTCCCCACGGCCGGCCCCCCGCACTGCCATCCCTGCCCATCGTCTCAACCTGGAAACCGGCCTTGGCAGAAGTGTTTCCTGGGTTGACACTACTCCAGGATGTTAATTAAAAACAAAAGCATTTTGAAAGTATTGCAAGTCCAGTTAGCACAGCACGTCAAGAGTCCTCTCTGGAAACCAGAGTTCTCTGCTGAAAACCTAGGCTTGTTGCTGCTTCAGGGTAATTCCCAGATGAGAACAGGCGCTGTTCCGCTGATAGAAAAGTCTCTGGAGCCCACCCCGAAGCCAGCAGCAGAACTTCCTGGCCCCCAAAGAAAGAAAGGGCAAAGCTGCCACGGCCTCGCGGATGTGCCCGGCCCGGCCCTCAGTTTCCCCGCCTACACTGAGGCGCGGGACCCCGAGGCCCGGGTCAGCACCCTCCTGCCTGCTCGCCGGTGACAGTCTGACTAGCAGGCGCTCTGGAGGCGTCCGGACCGGGCGGGAACTGTCAGCAGCTCCGGATCCGAGGCCGGGCCGCAGGACTCAGGGCCCCAGCGGTCGTGGCGCCTTGGCCA